TGAAAAAAAAAGTTCACTATTTTTTTTACCCCAGGCTCTATATATCGTAGACGAAACCTAATGCATCTATATGTGATATTTCATAAATATGAATTGCATTCGAATTCTATGTAAGTCAATTAAAACTTGAGTATCTAAAATTGGTGAAAGTTTTGTTGCAGGATGCATACCAAGCCCGAAATGCACTATGGGTGATGTGAATACAAACTGCGAAAGGTCACAACAATGTGAGATCTTCCTAAGCTCTGTCAATGCCAATATTACTTACATATGGATATAATGCATTTCAAGCTTGGTAAGCAAAATATAACAAAACCTTCACCAACCTTTTTCATATGAAATAACCGTATATTTTATGATCAAAACCGTTCTTGTTGGAGTCATGACTCATAATGACTCAAAACCTTCACTACCAACCTTTTTCATATGAAATAACCGTATATTTTATGATCAAAACCTGTTCTTGTTTGAGTCATGACTCATAATGACTTCCTTTATTTCCAAGTGGTAGAGACAGCAGGAATTTGATAAGGATTTTGATAAATACTAACCAAAGTTCTTAATTAGAGCATTTTTTTTTGAATAAGCGCATTATAAATGTATATTATTATTATCTTATTATTACTATTATTAATATTAAGACATGTTTCGCTGTGCTACAGCCATCGTCAGTAACGAAAAATTACAACGAGTGAACAGTTAAATAAGTGAATGAAATGATCAACAAAAGATTAACATCAAAGTTAAGATTACAAAAGATGACAAAAAAGGTTACGAAGCAAGCTTTAAATTTACATGGGAKAGCTGCTGATTAAGTGACGGGGTGTTTAAATGACTTCATTGATAATTATCAGTTGGAGAAAATATTCTCAATTTTGATTTGACCAATCAAATTTAATCAACGTTGCAATCGAATTTGACGTCACTTAAGCCTTTATCACAGTGAGATGAAGTTTTGTGCGAAACGTTGCACTGGCAAAGAGAACAACAGTGATAATTTTTATCCAACAGTTCTAAAATCGTCTCAATTTAGGAAAACGTTATTCAAGAAAATCCAAGAAAGTGTAGGAATCTGTTGGCAAGTATTTCTCGTCGAGTCGTCCGGTGAGTTATCGCCAATTAATCGGAAAAAAAACAAACCATTGTACCTTTATGAGAAAGCTTAAAATATTTTACGTCGGCTTGAATAAATGTTAATAACTTCAGAACACGGAATTTAAAGCTTCAATAGCCGATAGGTAGGTTGAATTTAACGAAATTTATCGTTGCCTTCTTGTTACATCAACCATCATGGCGGCCACGTCTTCTGTTATTTCATTATCAAATATTGAAGACCCTTAGATATGCGGTTGTGGTTTTAACCGGTTAAAATTTTAAAAAATCATTTCAACTCCTTAAGTCTCAGTTTCACGTTAAACTTTTTTGACTATCTTTTCTCTTTTTAAAAGATTATTCCATTGTTACAAAAATATATATCCACGTCTATTTTGGTTATTTTTCAAACGATAGATTTGTCCTTCATTTTTCCAGAAAAATATTTTCTTAACCACGGAACCATACTTATTGTACAATTTTATAAAGATTATTGAAAAGCTCAGAACGATTAAAAGGGTCGCCCAATGATTCAGTATATTTTCATTTTTTCAGGAATACAAGGCAGATATTTTAAATGAAAATTGAACATTTCTCGATCGAATCCCTTTTAAAAACTTAAAAATTTAAATTCAAAAATTCAAAGAAAGTGTTAATTCAATTTAGTTTTTTTTCAATGTTCTTTTGGCAGCTGGAGCTTTTCTCTGATGTATTGATTTTTAATGAAAAAAAAAGTTCACTATTTTTTTTACCCCAGGCTCTATATATCGTAGACGAAAATTGGACATTTCTCAATCGAATCCCTTTTAAAAATTAAAAAATTTAAATTCAAAAATTCAAAGAAAGTGTTAATTCAATTTAGTTTTTTTTCAATGTTCTTTTGGCAGCTGGAGCTTTTCTCTGACATATTGATTTTTAATGAAAAAAAAAGTTCACTATTTTTTTTACCCCAGGCTCTATATATCGTAGACGAAACCTAATGCATCTATATGTGATATTTCATAAATATGAATTGCATTCGAATTCTATGTAAGTCAATTAAAACTTGAGTATCTAAAACTAAAAAAGGGAATAACAAATTGGTATTATAAGATTAAGATCTTTCGTATTTAAAAGCTTACTTGCCTAGTTCTTTGAAAAACTTATTCTAAATAACCTCTAGTACGGCTGCTTGGATAGATTAACGTAATACGTTTCTTTTCGGGTACGTTCGTTCGTCCATTACTTCGTTTGTTGCTTGTTCTTTCTTTCTTTCCTTCTCGCTTACTTTGTTTTCGTTTTGCCTCTGTTCTTTTTGGTCTACTTTCTTTCTTTCTTTCTTTCTGTCTCTCTTTCTGTCTCTCTCTCTTTCTTTCTTTCCTTCTTTCTATCCCTCCGTTTTCGCTATTCATTTTCATTTCCCTCATTATCAGTCCAATTAATGCAGCTTGAATAACTACGGGTTCTTTCTAGACCACGCAGAACCAACGCAATATAAACATGTTGATCAAATATATAAGATTAATCATATAATTATCCATAAAATAACTATATTTCTCCTTTTCGAAACTGGTATTTTCAAATGTTTTCACATGTGAAAATATCGTTACCATGTGTATTTAAGCTATTAGTTCGTAAATAAAAACTTTTCATAATAATAAAAATCTTGTTAAATTGATTTTATGGATGATTATATAATAAACAGAATACTACACGGGCGCTGTGCTCACTCGTGAGAGATCTTTTCAACACTCGAAGGTTAATTTCGTATCTCCGCGCGCCCACGTAGTATCCTCTATATATTTCATTTCAACTGATTCTGTCAAACACCAACTTGCGATTTTCTGAAACAATGTCTCTCTAAAAAAAAGTCATAATCAAGGATCACGGAACAGTGTTAATTCTCTTCCGTGAAGGGAGGGGTAGGGATACTCAAGGATTTGACAAACTAAAAAGCTCCGAGTCCCAATTCCCCCGCTCCTCACTTTTTAGGCAAGGTCACTTTTTTGCCCATGATCAGTGTCAACTTTTATAAATATCTTTCGCTGCCTATCAAAATAGACTAAAAGCAATGCCCGACAAGCTCCAGGCTATTTAAAAAATAAATAAAAGTAGTATATTTTACAGAGAAGCTATAGTTTTCTTTTTATCAAGTTTTTAGTCAGTTGATTTATACGCACGTTCTATTTATCACCGGAGTTAAGCCTAGTTTGTTTTGTTTGACGATGGCGGAACATCCGGCCCTACGGATTAATTTTTTTAATCTTAATTACTTTTTGTATAATCACAAAATAGAGCCATGAGCGTTGAAATAGATTTAAAAAAACCGTAACTTGATGCTATAGACACCACGCCATAACAACGTACCTGACACCATTCTTGATTAAAATGGTATGTTTACGTTTATATATACGTTAATTTTATTTTATTTTTAATTTTTTGTCATTTTTTTAGCAATCTTAGGCAATAAAAGTACTGGATTCGAAAATTTCTATCACCTAATATTAGTGAAAATCGGTAAAAATAACAAATAACTAAGATTGATAAATGTATATACTTTTTTGCTTTTTTAATTAGCAATCTTAGGAGAAAAGTTTTAAAAGTCTCGGACATGCGCCATGTAAAAGTTGGTGAAAATAAAACTAAGAAAGACAACACGGGAAAAAATCATGTTTAATTTTTTTTCTTCTTCTTTTTATTCGAAGCTGAAATTAAGCCCGCGGTGAATTTTTAGCCTTCTCGCCATGTTCCCATGAAAATCATGACGTCATCGTATTCGAAAAGTTCCGGATACGAAATGTTCTCCGTCCACACTAACACGGCTAGCCGGCGTTTTCAAATTGTTCCACTCTGGAGACCGTATTCGAAAAGTTCCGTTTTCGGTGAAGAATTGTTCCGGATTCGTCCGGATTCCGGATTCCGGATTCTAGTGTGGACGGGGAAGGCCTAACCGGATAAATAAAGTTTCGGATTCAAATTTCTACGGCATAGTGTGGACGGGGCCTTATTCACCAAATTAGACGAACGTGTCTTCATTAAATGCTAAAGCAACGCCTCATTCGATTCTAGTAGAGGGCACTGGCCAGTTCGGGCACAATTTACCCATAGATTTTATTTTTGATTTTACATCTGTTTTTTAGGCTTGGTATCACCCGATTGAAATATTGCCTGGATATTATTAATGAGATAAAAATATTGCCTGGATATTATTAATGAGATAAAAATATTGTCTGGGTATTATTAATGAGATTAAAAAAATGTGAAACCAAATGAGAATCTAATGATTGATTTATGTTTTTAATATTAGACGATTGAGGTGTGGGTTTTTGACCACCCCACATCCTAGGTTTCCGATGCTAGGTTAAAAACTAGGCATCCTATGCTAGGGTCACATCCTAGGTTCACATCCTAGGTTTCCTATGCTAGGTTCCGATGCTAGGTTAAAAAAATAATTTTGTATGGAAGTGGCTTAAAGAAATAGTTATATTATATATTAGAAAGAAATGTTCTCGGAAAACAGATATAAGGAAAAAGCTATTAATGATAATATGTCAAATAATAATATATCGAATAGTATAATGGATGAATCAGTACCAGAAATTGATCTACCAATTTTAAAACCGGTAAAAGCTACAAATATATCTAACAAAAATATGATCAAAACAGTTACAGACAGTGTTCAGAAGCAATTAAATGAGTTTGCAGACTGGATTATATCATATATTCCACCAGATGTTAAGAAACCAACCAATAAGCGTTTGGATGATTTGAAAAACGAGGTTAATAATATTTATAAAAGTCTGAAAAATACAGGTGATGTACAAAAGGACATGAATGTTGCATACAAGAAAGAGTCAGCAATGAAGGGTTTTTTATCGTCTTACATGATCAAAGGTGAGAAAAAGATTGATCCTAAATCGTTTATAGAAAAGTATGAGACCGCAGTTATTAGAACGGTTGAAAAACAGCAAAAACCAATAAAAATGAAATTAGTACTAGAGTGTGTATTTTATAAAGAGGAGCATAAAGAGGTTGTATACACATTTGGGTATTTTCATAGTAATATAGTTATTATTACACAAGCTACGAATATAGAAGATGTTTATGAAACATTGACAGGTGATATATTAGAAAAGATTAGYAATTTCCAAAATAGTGGATCGGGKTGGATATTCAATAAAGTGGAGAATTTAGATATTCATATAGATAAATATAARCCTATRACAGCAAAATCTTATATYCCATTACCAGGAAAATTGAAGAGTAAAGAGGCTATTGTTAATCCTATTAATAAGGATAAYSAATGCTTCAAATGGGCAGTTACAACAGCTTTATTTCCTTCTCATAAGAACCCAAATAGGATAACTAAAGCTCTTAGGAATAATAGTGAAAAACTATGTTGGGATGATATCGAATTTCCTGTTCAGCTGGATAAGATTACTAAATTTGAGAGTAATAATCCAGAATATCGAGTAAACGTGTATAAATATATTAATGAGTCTGTACCTATTAGAATAAGTGAGGTTGAAAATGAAGATAGTAAGAAAACGATAAATCTACTATTAATATCRAATGAAGAGACTAAYCACTATTGCTGGATAAAAAATATGAGTAGGTTAATATCATCTCAAATAACTAAAAATGGTCATTGTAGGTATTATTGCGAAAGGTGTCTCAACTCGTTTAAAACGAAAAAGGCTTTAGACATACACTATGAGTATTGTAAGAACCACGAGGCGGTTAAAATTACATTACCAAAAAAGGGGACAACGATCTCGTTTAATAATTATAATCACTCTATGCGAGTCCCCTTTGTCATCTATGCAGATTTTGAATGCTTCACAGAGAGTATCGATACATGTCAACCAAATGATGAAAGATCATATACTCAACAGTACCAAAAGCATGAACCATCTGGTTATTGTTATATGGTAAAATGTTATGATGATAGTATATATAGACCAAAATTGTATAGATATACTGCTAAGTCAGAGGATGAGGATATTAGTCGAAAATTTGTAGAATCGATAGAAAATACTATTAAAAATGTCTATAAAAGATATCATTACAATAAGAAGGTTAAGATGATGGATGAGGATAATATGAATTATGATAAAGCTACACATTGTCATATTTGTGATAAGGAGTTAAATGGCGATAAGGTATTAGATCATGACCATCTTACAGGGAAGTATCGGGGTGCAGCGCATAATGAGTGTAATTTGAATTACAAAACACCGAAGCATATACCAGTGATATTCCATAATTTAGCAGGTTATGACGCACATTTATTCATTAAGAATCTAGGTTCTACAGAAGGGAAAATAGATTGTATTCCAAACAATGAGGAGAAATATATCAGTTTCAAAAAGGAGATAATAGTAGATACATTTGAGGATAAAAATGGTAAGGTTATTAACATTAAACGTGTGATTAGATTCATTGACAGTTTAAAATTTATGGCTTCAAGTCTAGATTCATTAGTTAGCAATCTAGAGAAGAAACATTGTAAGAATATGAATTTTTTCTATGAGGGTAAAAAGCTTGATCTATTACTTAGGAAAGGTGTTTATCCATATGACTATGTTAGTACATTAGATAAATTGAATGAAACATCCCTCCCCCCGATAGAAGCGTTTTTTAACAAATTGAATAATACACCAACTACCATCACTGATTACAAACATGCACAAGAAATATGGAAAACATTCAAAATAAAATCTATGAAAGAGTATCATGATTTATATCTTAAGAGTGATGTCATCCTATTAGCAGATGTATTTGAAACTTTCAGGGATGTATGTATGGAGAATTATACGTTAGATCCGTGTTGGTATTACACAGCTCCAGGACTGTCTTGGGATGCTATGTTGAAAAAGACGAAAATTAATCTCGAGTTGTTAACAGATAGTGAAATGCTACTAATGATAGAATCTGGAATAAGAGGAGGGATCTCGATGATTAGTAAACGTTATGCAAAAGCTAATAACAAATACATGAAATCATTCAATAATAAGGAAAAGTCGAAATTCATCAAATACCTAGATGCTAATAATTTATATGGGTGGGCTATGTCACAGAAGTTACCTACACATGGGTTTAAATGGATGAATAAACTAGAGCTCAAGAATTGGAAAAAGCATCCATGTATCCTAGAAGTAGATTTAGATTATCCAGTTGAGCTGCATAAATTGCATAATGAATATCCTCTTGCCCCTGAAAGGATAATGGTTAATAAAGTGGAGAAACTTATTCCGAATTTAGGAAATAAGACAAAATATGTAGTACATCATGAGACGTTGAAATTGTATGAAAGTCTTGGGGTGAAAATAACGAATATCCATAGAGGTGTTACATTTCATGAGTCTGAGTGGTTGAAACAATATATTAGTCTTAACACAGAACTCCGTACAAAGGCTAAAAATGATTTCGAAAAAGACTTTTTCAAACTGATGAACAATAGCGTTTTTGGGAAGACAATGGAGAACATACGTAACAGACAAGACATTAGACTGACAACAAATGAAAAGCAGACAGCAAAATTGATTAATATGCCTAATTATAAGAAAAGAACGATATTCTCAGAAAATTTAGCTGCTGTTCATATGGGTAAAACAGAGTTAGTATTCGACAAACCCATATATGTAGGTATGTCAATCCTTGATCTTTCGAAGAATTTGATGTATGACTTTCATTATAATTATATAAAACCAAAATATGGTGATAAAGCAAATCTACTATTCACAGATACTGACAGTCTTATGTATGAGATTGAAACAGATGATTTTTATAAAGATATTGAGAAAGATATCGAGACAAAGTTTGATACAAGTAATTATCCAGAAGATCACCAAGGAGTAAAACAAAGGGTTAATAAAAAGGTTATTGGTATGATGAAAGATGAGACAGCAGGTCAAGAGATTACTGAATTTGTAGGTCTTAGAGCTAAGTTATACGCTTATAAAACAGATATYGAAGAAGCAAAACGTTGTAAGGGTGTTAAAAGGTCAGTCGTTAAAAGGGAGATATCATTCGATGACTATAAGGAATGTCTATTTGAGGGGCAACAAATTATGAGAAAGATGAATGTAATCAGGAGTCATGGGCATCAAATATATACAGAAACAGTTAATAAAGTAGCATTATCAAGAGATGATGATAAAAGAGAGATAGAATTAGATTGTATTAATACTAAAGCTATAGGCTATAGAAATATTGATGAATGACTATATGATCATGAAAAAGGTGAACCCATAAAACGTTATGAGGGTGTAATTGATCATTATGATAGAATAGCTTCACGGAAAGTCGATAGACTGAGTAAGTCAAGCAAATTATTTTAAGACACTATCAGGTGGTAATTGAGTATCTTCAGGAACGACTTGTAATTCTTCTCTGACGAAATTTCTTTTCGGTGCACCATCAGAGAGGTAATATAAGACAGGTTGRTTAGCWGACACAACAGTTCTCGATATATCRTATATTCCTAATGACCATATAGGATCTGTAGCTCTCTTATTACCACCTTCCAACTCACCAGGAGTGTATAAATATCTAACTTTCACACCAGATGGAAGTCTAACTTCTTTCAATCCAACAGGTCTTTCATATTCAACATGTTTTTCATATGTTTCTTTCATTTTTATTCCTTCGATAGGDGCTTTTCCAGTTATTCTCTTTACACCACTGTTTATACCACGTATGACAGCTGGCAGTCTTTCAACCCATTCACGAGATCTTTCCTTTTCATCCATTAACATTTCTTTTGCATACTGATGGCTAAATAGTTTCTCTGCAATGGTTCGATTAGCACGCTCGACTAATGCTTGGGATCTATGGTTATTAGCTTCTGATCTTTGTACTTTAACAGATTTATTTTTCATTATTCTCGTAACTTCACCCATGAATTCAGTACCAGGATCTACGATAATTGTTTCAGGCCATTTCAAACGTCTAGAATATATCTTTTCGAAACCTCTTGATACCTCTGTTGAGTACTTAGACGTCAAGGACTCGGCATCTATGTATCTACTTGCAATGTCAACAACAACAAGAGCATATTTGTATAACTTTCTTCTTACTCTATCATGGGGTAAGAATAATAAGTCTGCTTGATGTATCTGATTAACCTTTTCGACATTCCAATGATATCTGGGGATATAATGTGGTTTAGGTAAATATATCTGCCACAAAGCTTGTTTTTCCAACCATTTTTTTACAGATTGTTTTTCGATATTAGTAACGTCAGCTAGTTTATCGATAGCTTCATAACCCTTCCAATAACCTTGTGGGTTGCAATAATGGTTTGTTAATTTTTTGCTAATCATATAAATTATATAAAACAATAATCTTTTATAATACTAGTATAATGAGCCAATCAATATCGCAAGTGCTTGATGTCAATCAAGAATCGAGGAAACCATTCGCATTGAAAGCTGAAAGAACCCTACATAGAGTAACATTTAACCCTAGTAAAGCATCACCAGAGGAAACGTTGCAAGTAAATATTCCAAAGTTATCGAATGGGTATGTATATGTTCCTAATAGTATTACCCTAGTGGGTAACTTGTCACTTCAGATGGGGCATGCCAACAACACAGTTGTTAACAACCTAGGTAGGAATCTTATAGGAAGGATGAGAGTAACCTATGGAAGTGATGTTATAACCGACCATAATCGGTATGATTTATATTATACGTATGAAGATCTGTTTAAACAGGTTAGAGAGCGTGATAACATGCTTCGTGAAGGTGTATCACCCCTAAATATGCGTAGGTTAAGAACGAACGCAGGGGATAAGGTTACTACCGATGCTGGAGAAGTTGCTCTAGGAGCTATACACGGTAATGAGTATAAAATCCCAATATCACATGAAATCTTGAATAAACATGGTGTACTAAATATGAGGGGTTTGAACAACGATCTTACATTTGAGATTACCTTATCAAAAAGCGAAGCTATCGGTGTTACGAGTGATAATACAGAAGATTATGCATATAGTCTTAGCAACCTCAAACTAGAGTATGAGACTGTACAAAGTGAATATCTATCTCAGGATGCAGCTAGTAGTTATCAACTTGGAAAAGGGTTTTACTATGAACATGTAGTCCTTCTAAAATCGTTCACCATCGCTAAAGCAACTGATAGCATCATAAATGAAAAAGTAAACATACCAAGACGTAGCCTTACAGGGATCTTAATGCTGTTCGTAGAACCATATGCTGCAGGTGCGAGAGATAGTGAGAAATTTGTAAATCCTAACATTACAAAAATCGAGATAAATATCGATGGGATGCCTAATAAACTGTTTAGTAAAGGTATGCTTCCTATAGATATATGGGACAGCATTGTCAAACGATATGGTTTAAGCGATAATATCACACAAAAACAATTTTATGCTGACAAATATGCTGTATGGATTGATCTAAGAACATTTTATGACAATATTTTACATGGTGCGGGTTTTCATCTGATTAGCACGAAAGATGGCATTCTACTAACTATTCACCGTACAACTGGAGGATCTGGCAACGTTACATGTTACATTTACATCGTGGGTGATGCTGTCTTCGAAGTAGAAAATTCTGATTTGAAATCGATAGTGTATTAAAAAATTAGCATTATAATATATATATGGAAGAGTTAATATATCAAATTCCTTATAACTGTATAATAGTTGGCCCTACAAACTGTGGAAAGACACGATTTTTAGTCGATACTCTTAGAGGGTGTTATAAAGACAAATTCGAGTATATTATCTTAGTTTGCCCTACATATTCAAGAAATAAAACATACCAAGGTTTTGCTAATAATGACCCTAGATTTATAGTGATTCAACCTGATAGTAGTGATATAGATGACCTTAACCAAATATTACTAGATATCGAAACAGTTTTTAGTGGGTATACGACACTCGTAATTTTAGATGATGTTGCATCTAGTAGCGAGGTAAAAAAAAGGTCTAATCAATTCGTTAACCTAGCATTTAGTGCAAGGCATTCTAATATATCAGTTTGGGTGTTGACACAACATTTAACATCAATTGCTAAACCTTTTAGAGATAATATAAGCTGCATAATTAGCTTTTTCACGCCGAATAGAATATCGAATCAAACATTATTTGATGAATATGGTGGGGATTTAGATACTGGGCTTAGAAAGCATTATATGGAAATGCTAAAATCAGAAAAGTATGCTAGGATTTGTATATGCCTACG